TGGATATAAAATCTTAAGAATGAACACCCTTCACAGTATGGCCTCTAAATTACAAAATAAAGCCCTGGATTAAAAAAAGAGAAAGAGAGAGAGAATGACCACCCTTCTCTACATGAAGAAAGGCAAGTTTCTGGTGCCACTGCACAACTGGTTAAGCACACACAAGATGCGAGGATCACTCACAGGAAGGAAGAACCGCAACTGCATTCACCCTTTAACTGGAACACACAACTTGGGATTAAGAACCCGCGTTTCAGAAGGTGGGCTCTCTAGGCTAAGACAATCTCAACATTATCTGGCAGGAACATCTTTAGATTCCCTGCAGGACAATCTGATGTGGGCGGCTTCGACAGCTTGAGTATAGACTTTTGTATCTCAAAGTATACACACTGTCTGCAATAAAAGTTAGGTTTTCTGGTTAGCTGATATTTCTTTTTGACAAAAAAAAAAAAAAGCTTTGTTTTACTTAATGGGTCCCCTGGCTCAAAAATCGAAACCAGGCCAAGCTATTCAAGTCACAATATTTGATGCAGCCCCATTGTATCAAGGTTCAAAAGGTGAAAGGAACTTTTCATCCTGGCTGAACTCAAAGAAATTTAAAAATCAAATTGAAGCCACTACCGGTTTAAGATTAGAATTATCATCCTTACCAACGGACATCATAAAATATCTAATTTGCTCATATTTGTTAATAGTTTTTTAATGAAGGTTTCACAAAATCCTGGTTATCACTCCTTAAATATGATGAAAAGAAACCCATCTACTGACAGCAGCAATGGCAAGTGGGTTCCCACAAACATCCTCACTAATAAGAGTCAAAACACAGTAGGTGTTGTCCAACACTCAGGCATTCAATTACCTCTCATTAGAAGGACCCTGCGTTTGAGGAGCACACGGCAGCCTGCAGATTCAAGAGGCAGCATTCTGTGCTGAGTTATTTAAATGCACAGGCAAATTAGCTTGACTGGCAGGTTGAGTCTCTAAGAAAAGCCACTGGACCTTCCAGGCTAGGAAATTCCCAAACCTCAAATACTGCATCTCCTGAGACTTCCCAGTAATATTTGCATACAATGATTACCACGGTGAAGCCACTTCTACTCCTTCTTACCCAATCACAGCCAACAAGCTGCAACACCAGGGAACTGTCAGACACCTGCCCCTTCCTGCTCAGACTACTTTGAACCCCAACAGAAAGGCTGCTCAACAGCCAGGACCGTGGTGCCCTGGGCCTCTTCATGGGCCAGGAGAAGCTCTAGGTGAAAAGCCGACCTCTCCCTGGACACAGAGACGCTAACCTCCACATAGAGGGGTCCACAAGCTACAGCTTTCAATCTCTAAAGTTCTTTGGGTTCAGAAAGCTGATTAAACAAAGGTCAGGGAAAGAAAAATGCTAGTTAGAAGTGCTAACATAATCCTCATGGCTCCCTAAAAAGGAGGGAAGAAACAGGCAAAAGGTGCAGGATACTGATGGCACGTCCCCAACAGTGACACACAAGATGTGGCCACAACCCTGCCATAGCTATAGGCTGGGGCACACGATCTACCTGCATTTCATCTGCATTCTGGCCCACTCAGAGAAGGCTGGAAAGATCTCACGTAAGGACTCGATCACCTAATGCAGGCCTCAGAAAACTTTGTCTGCACAGGACCAGATGTCAGCACTTCAAGCTTCAGGGGCCATATGGTCTCTGCTGTAATTACTCAGTTCTACTCGAACAGGCAAAGCCCCAGACAATACGGGAACGCGGAGCGTAGCTGCGTTCCACTAAGACTTAACTTGCACAATCTGGTGGTTGTCAGAGTTAGCCCTGGTTCTTGGCCTGCCCGCCCCCACCTGCCCAATCCAGACTGCAGAATCCAGACGACAGAGGCTCCAAACCTGAACTGTAAAAGCCGCAATGTGGAGGTGGGCACTCAGTATTGCAGTGAGGACGCTGGCTGATTCAAGCTCCCTGCTCAAGTGCACCCGGGGAGGCAGGAGTGACATCCCCATGGGAGTCCTGGATGGAGTTCCCAGCCTTGGCTAACGCAGGCTTGTAAGAAACAGGCCAGCCAACAGGAGCTTGCTTTCTCATTCTGTACATCTATCTCTGTCCCTCTGTCACTCAAACATTTACAAATCAAGTTCAGTAGCAAAACATAATTCTTTATTCTGACACTTCCTCAAAATCCTCCTTCCAGCTTCCAGAACCAGCCTGATCTTTCTGAGTTAAATTTAGTAAGTATCCCTTCGATTGTCTTAGTAAATCTGATATCAAAAATTCAAAATACAGCTGTATCACTCTCACCCAGAGTAGACTGATGACCACAGGACAGACCCTGCTTGGAGGCCCCTTCAAAGGGCAGGGCCCTGTTCCATCCAGACTTCCCTTGGAGTCTGCAAGACAGCACTGCAGCCCTTCACATTGGAGAGCTCCCACCAACAGCGATTCCAACAAAGCAGAGCCTTGTAGGAGATTTTCAAAAAGGGAAGAAACAAACTACTAAAAATACCAGATTCGTAAATCTGCCTTCGTAAGCCAAATCAGGCGTCTATGGTGTTAGGTGAAGAGTCGCCACTACCAAAGTAATTACCGTCAGGTTTTGTTGTAGCCCACTCTGCTTCAAAGAGAGGACACCTTCAGAGGGCTGGGGCATCCAGCAGTTTACACACAAGAGACGGGCTCCCTGGAGCTGCCGGAGCCAAGGGAAAGCCAACACCATTCAAGTTGTGACAGAAGATGACTCCCAAGTGCCCCCAAAGTCTTGGAAATGAAGACACCCAATTCAGTCTGCATTCAGCCGTTTCATTTCAAACGGGCAGAAATAAAGTAGAGATAGCAATTTATAAATTGGAGTGTTTCATAGCTCAGTAGAAGGAAGGACTTTATCTAGAAGGCACAGCCTACTTGGGCAAGGGCACTTTCCAAGGCAGCCACGCAGGACATAAAAGCTAACTCAGTTATGACGAAAAGCCATGTGCCTATCTTCAGCCTCTTCTTGTCTGTAAGCCTGATACCACAGCTGCAGAGAGAAAGTGATTTGCCAGTATTTCACGGCCTGGAATATGCAGTATGATATTATTTCAAAAATTAATACAAAATCTTAACTCTGACCTAGCCTTCTGCTTCTCTAGAGTGCAGGGGGAGGGGGAAGGCGACTTCTGCATGAAGGTCAGAGCTGAGCACAGAGGGCACTCAAAAGGAAAGGCTGCTCTCCGCCACAGGGTCCACGACACCTACGTCCTCCTGGGCTCCCCAACTGGCCTCAACACCCACCTCGGCCAGCGACACCTCCTGCCGTGTCCACAATGCAAATCACGGACATCAGGGAGGCAGGCCTTAGGGAAGGAGCCGACTGTCAGACGCAGGGAGTTCTCAGCGTGGCTCCAGAGGTTTGCGGGCCTTTCTAACCAATGCTCCTGGTTCTTCTCCACCCTGCAGATTCTCCTCTCTGTCCTGATCACACAGCCGACTGGACACAGCTCCATCAGTCCTGAACGACAGTGTCAAGATGCCGGCTTCTCAGTCTTGGAGAGCGCACTAGCTGCCTTCCCAGGACTACTAGCAGCAGGCAGATGCAGCAGTGTCAACACTCAGGTAGAAATAACCTAAGTCACACACACGACTCATTAAGAAAATGGTCTACCAACATGATTCAAGCCAGGAGGTCCTCCAGCTGAATGTCAAACAAAAAAAGCATCGTGCCTAAGTCCTTTCCTTTCTCCTCAACTACTCTGTGCTACACAGGTCCACACACGCCCACGTGAGAGGGCTCCGTTCATTCCACACGCCACACTGCTCACTGGATGACAGCCTCCAGTCACGAATTCTAACAGTGCATCTCTAGTTCTGATGTTGACACCGATGTAGAGAAGGCACCTGATGTACAAGTGCACAAAGCAGGACTGAAATACTCTCAGCCCAGGATGATGTCCGAGCGATGATTTTTAAGTAAGTCCACTTCAATTTACAAAAAACTTCCATTTATTTCTGTACCTTATTAGACAAGTAGAGTCAAAAGTCCTGCTCTGTTAGACTTGTGACCCTGTACTATACAACAATGGATGCTGTAAGAATGGATTTTTACCTCCCGTGTTTGCCCTGATGACGCCAGGGAATGCTTGCAGGCTTGAGGAGGAGTCATTCAAAAGAAAGAAAGAGAAACAAAGAGTGCAGGGGATAAAAGCTATGAGAAAGGAAACCAATGAGGGGGAACTGAGGGGGGAGGAACTACGGGGGTGGGAGGTGACAAAAGGACAGGGAAAATGTGACACAAGACAGCAGAACGCAACCCCACTTCTTCTAACAGTAAACCTGAAGATGCAGATCCTTACTCAAAGCAGTTGGTTCTCACTGATTCTGATATTCATGCAAATGGGCCAAACAAAATCAAACTCTGGACAGTGACATGTGAGTATCTGCAGGGCTGCTGTGCCCCCAAAAGCACACGACGCTGAAGGCAGGGCACCCTCCTGAGCCGCCTACCTCACGATGGTCACTGCAGTTCATCTCTGGCCATTAAGAGGGTTAATTTAGAGGGTAAGACAAGGACTGATCTCCAGTTTTATAAAGAAATAAGATCCTATTCCCAAAGGAAAATGATATGCTCACTGACCAATCGAAACCCACAGTACCCTTTGTTCCAAAGTCATGACAGGTTGCTGCTCCCCGTATCCCATTACCAATCAATTCTGGTTTGAATAACCCAGGTAATTGGAATATGTCCGTACACCACACAGACCAGGTCAAAAACTCGGACAGAGCCTCTCGTCTCTAACCCCTGAATACCAAAATAGCCACGATCTTTGCTGAGTGCTCAGCTTGCAGAGACTTCAAGGTCGGCCCTACAAAGCCTTCCTTGGTAACACCAGGATTTAAAAGAGGCTGTGATTTTAATGAAATGATAGCTGGAAAGGTTGTAAATGCATTTTTAAATTAGAGAATTACTGTACAAAATTTCATTACAGTTAGATTTAAGTGGATTTCATTAGATAACATATCCATACATTAACAGCCTACCTATTCCTGAATTAGCTCCAGTTACCACGACCACCTTGCCAGTGAAGTCCCGGCCCTGGAGGATTTCCATGGCCGTGGTGCTGCCGTCATATCTCTGTCGGGCGGTTGGCTTTGTTGGATTATCATCCACAGTGAATGCCAGTCTTGGGTCCAAGTAGGTGGTTCTTTTATTTATATGACTGCAAAGAAAAAGAAAGAGAAAGCAGTGAAGACTAGCACTCACAAAAAATAAGATAACCTCATAGTTGAGGCATCATTTCTGATGTCCTAAAGGACTTCTTGAACCACAGAGAAGTGGGGCCCAGGCCATCTGCATTCGGGCCTCTAGGAGGATTACATTCCTCCGGGAAGCAGTTACAGGGTCCTCTCCCTCGGAGCTGCTGTGGGATTCCACCACCACTTCATGGCCACTGCCTCATCACCTCCATCCAACAGAGGCTTCCTGAGAACGCTTCAGGTTTCTACCAAGTCACGTAGCTGTGGCTGGGAGATCTGTCAGCCACTCTTTGGAGGAGATGCCAGTTAACTCTCTGAGCCTGGGACTGGTTAAAAAAATAAAGTGGAAAACCCAAAATAATAAAAGTCTTAGCAAACTGGAATCTGCATAATAAAATGCTAACAATTTTCATTTTTGTGAGTATGCTCACACTTTCTATAAGCACTCTAATTTTGATTGGAGGTGATATAAACCTTGTAGAAGCAATATTAAAATATATTGCAATATACAAAGAGGTTATTCTTTGTAATACTTCTTTTGCACTTGAAATCTATTATTGTAATTTGAGATAAAGACCTCAAACATCTTAGACACTATTAAGGATCTTCCAGAAACTGATTTGATAAGTTAAAATGTATTTTACTATGTGTGTGTAATATCAGACAGCTTAAAATCTGTATCCATTACCCTATAAACACCAAGATCCAAGAGTAATTACACTTGTATGTTAAATACAAGCACAGGCTTCCCGAGGAGCATCAGGAGCTCAGTGCGGTACCTGGACAGCAGCACGGGGCCATGCTGGAGCAGGCTCACATACTCACAAAAGCCAAAGCACTACCTCTTCCTCACTCCTCAGGGACATCCCCTCCCTCGGTGGTTGCAATTGGCTTTGGCACAAGGATATGCACCACAGAAGCCAATGTGGGCTTCTTCCTGCCCGCCAAGAGCTGGCTCTTCTATTAACCCCTGCAGTGGGCTCACAGGAGTGATGGCTAGCAGTAGGTGCTAGTTTTGCTCCAAAGTCCTTACCTGTTCCTCTAGATCAGACCAGGAGTTGGCAAACTATGGCCAACTGGCCCAACCTGGCCTGCTGCCTGTTTCTGTAAATACAGTTTTACTGGGACACAGCAGTGCCCAGCATTTATATATTGTCTATAGCTACTTTAAGCATTTCAATGACAAAGTTGAATAGCCGTATGGCATGCAAAGCCTCCATCATTATCTAGCCCCTGCTGTACAGTGGACTAGGGGCTATTGACTAGAGCACATCAGAGTGCTCTGGAAAGCTGCGAGAGCACAGCCTGGCAGTCCCACCCCAGAGCAGCTCCTTCCAAAGGTGCAGGTGCGACCTCTGCAAATGTGCCATTCTGACTAATCGCCAGGTGATCCTGATGCTGCTGGCTCAGCAGCTACTCTTCAGAACTTCTGCTCAAAGCCAAGAGCTGGAGAGTAGCTGTCCAGACGTTGTGTGTGGAGACCAAGACTATACAGCAGAAACTGGTGTGATCACAGCAAAGTTTTAGAAATTCTCTGACGACTTTACTTATTAAAAGGCCAACCATGTTAAGAGAAAAATTTGGAAGAAACCATTCATAACATTCACCAAAAGGTCAATATCCTTTATTTCTTAAGCAATCAAACTTGTATACAGCAAGGTACACAAAGAGTTTACAAACTAACAAGCAACAACACACATCCGCTCTATCCAACAAGCCAGACTATCTCTTCTTCCTGGGCTGCCCATGATGGTCGAGAGACTCATCTCAAGATAATGGGTAAAAGTTTTCTCCTGCAGTGCCAGCATCCCATATGGGCACTGGTTCAAGTCCAGGCTGCTATTTTTTTTTTTTTTTTTTGACAGGCAGAGTGGTGGACAGTGAGAGAGAGAGACAGAGAGAAAGGTCTTCTTTTGCCGTTGGTTCACCCTCCAATGGCCGCCGCGGCCGGCGTGCTGCGGCCAGCGCACCGCGCTGACCCGATGGCAGGAGCCAGGTACTTCTCCTGGTCTCCCATGGGGTGCAGGGCCCAAACACTTGGGCCATCCTCCACTGCACTCCCTGGCCACAGCAGAGAGCTGCCAGGCTGCTACTTTTGACCCATATCTCTGCTATGGCCTGGGAAAGCAGTGGAAGATGATCTAAGTCCTTGGGCCCAAGCACCCGCGTAGGAGACCCAAAAGAAGCTCCTGGCTTCGGATCAGTCCAACTCCAGCATAATGGCCATTCAGGGAGTGAACCAGCAGACGGAAGATCTCTCTTTCTCTCTGCCTCTGCCTCTCTGTCTCAAATAAATAAATCTTTTCACAAAATGGAGAAAAAAAAAAAAAAAAAAAGCCAGGGCCCAGTTGCTCCCAACATTGCAGGCCCATCAAGCATTCAGGTTTATTCAAAAACTACCTGTGCCATTTGAACTTGTTACTGTAACTACACTATTTAATGAACCATTACCATGTGGACTGTTAACATGTGGACTGTAAACAAACTGTCAGTCTATGAAAATACCACTGAATGTTCTGCAGAGCCTCAACCACAACTACCAAAATAAAAAAAAATTGAGGGACCAGCTTTTGGAGCAACAGTTCAATTCCAGGCTGTTCTACTTCCAATCCAGCTCCCTACTAATGCATCTGGGAAGGCAGCCAATGCTTGGGCCCCTGCCTACCATGTAGGAGACCAGGATGGAGTTCCAGGCTCCTAACTTTGGCCTGGCTCAGCTCTGGCTGTTGCAGTCATTAGGAGAGTGAACCAGTGGGTCAAAGATCTCTCTCTCTCTGGCACTGGCACTGGCTCTGGCTCTCTCTCCTGTTGCTCTGCCCTTCAACTATGTATTTTTTAAATAAAGTTTTGGTTCAATTCAGTTCAGTGAAAAAGCTTAAAATTTAAAAACTCTAGAAAGATATAGCATTCAGATTCTTTGAAATGTAAATTTTTCCTCAACTTTAAAGAGGGCAAAAGCAGAAACTGCAGATCATATACTAGGAGAATGCATGGGAAAGGAGGGCCATACTACAACCCAAGGAACAGACTCTCATTCCAAGAGTGGGCCTATCCTGTCACCAAAGGCCTAATAAACTTGAATCAAATATTAAATGTTAATATTATATATACTTTCAAAAAAATCCTGCTTCAATCAACTTCTATTAACCAACGAATCCCAGTCCTACCAAATATGCCAACCTCTGACTGAAATATTGACCACCATGAAACACGCATTCCCTTCTTAACTCATGTGGTCCAGAGAGCAGAACCTCACGCAATTGCTGGGCTCAAACCCTGGTCTGTCATGAGGAGCCGTGGGACCCTGGACACTCATCAGCAAGTAACCAGGGACCATAACGAATACTATCCACAGAGTACTGTGGTGCTCATGAGCTCATACTGCAAAAAAAAAAAAAAAAAAAAGTCATCAGAACCACACCTCCGGCCAACGCCACAGCTCACTAGGCTAATCCTCCGCCTGCAGCGCCAGCACCCCGGGTTCTAGTCCTGGTCGGGGCACTGGATTCTGTCCCGGTTGCTCCTCTTCTAGTCCAGCTCTCTGCTGTGGCCCAGGAGTGCAATGGAGGATGGCCCAAGTGCTTGGGCCCTGAGCCCGCATGAGAGACCAGGAGAAGCATCTGGCTCCTGGCTTCGGATAGGCATGGTGCACCGGCCGCAGGGGCCACTGGGGGGTAAACCAACAGAAAAGGAAGACCTTTCTCTCTGTCTCTCTCTGTGTCCACTCTGCCTGTCAAAAAAAAAAAAAAGAACTACACCTCCCTTATGCCGTGTATAGGTGGTTACAATTGCTGTTACTGGAATTTATTCTAAGGATGCAATCAGAGATGTGTGAAAAGGTTTTACAGATAAGCATCCTCAAAGCATTACTTACAGCCATAGACTCCCAATAGCAGGACTTTAACCTCCATGCCCAATAGACACTGATCAATTGTATCTATAAAACGTTAAGACTCAAGAGCCACTGAAGTATCATCTTCCTAACAAACCAAGATATGAGAAAATGCTCACACTACAGTATTTGGGAAAGCAGGTTACTAAATAGTTCAGATAGTGTATTTCCCACTTCTTTAAAAAATAAAGCATGTGCACAGAAAATATATTCAAAGAATAAATCCAGAAATCGTTCAAAGCAGTTACTCCCGCTGCTAAGATTACAGGCATGCACTACTTTGTATTTTTCTACAATGTGAGATACATGTAATAAAAAATGGTCAAGAATTCTATCTACATAGGCACTTACTCAACAAAAAACACTTGTCCGTTCTCATCGGTTTCTTGTTCCCATCCATACGGCAAATCTGAAACACAGGGTAGACAGACAGGTCGAAGTGCGGCCAGGTGAATGGAGCCCCAGCCCCCAGGCCAGGACCAGAGGCCCCTCTCCAACCCCTGCTCCCTGGGTCCATCCTTCCCAACCAACGGTCGCCTCAACCCATCTCGGTCACACGTTCCAATGGAGGCAGCTGCTAAGGGTCCATCACCCACAGCCAGGCTCCGCCTCCCCGTCTCTTATTTTAGCCAAAACCCGTTTCTTTCCTGGTTAGTTCTGATTGCTCCCCCCAGCTGCTGCTCTTGCTGTCAATCTTACTTGATGCCAAACCATCATGAATACTCCCTGAACTGAGCCCACAGAATGTGTCTCTTCGTACGGCAGGCAGCCGCCATCTTTCTTAGGCTGACCCGTGACGCCTCACACAATGCAATAGAGCACTTCCTTTGTATTCCTATGTGCAAACTGTCTCCAGCTAGACCCTTGACTTCCTCCACGGCACAAGCCAAGGATAACTTCACCAACAGCACAGCTATGGCAAAACTTAGTAAACTGTGAGTCAAGAGCCCGAATTACTGTAATTCTTTTGTGCTCAGGTAGAAAGTCATCCTCACTCCATGGCACCACCTCAGCACCCCCTTGCCAAACCTCACAAGCTCTCAGAGCAGGAGCCCAGTTCCTGTAGGGTTCTCTACCCGACAGCCTTCCCCGACTGACACAGTGACCCACCACTCCCTGCCTCGTACATCTTCCCTATCTAACTCATGTTTCAAACACAAGACTCTGCTCTATCACAACAACATACAAACCTCCTGCTACGCGTTTTCTTTTTCCAGTTTTCGGATGCTCCCATTGAGTCTTCTCCTCAGTGTGGCTGTCAAAGAAAAAAAAAATCCACCATGCAATCGTAAGTCAAGGTTCACACGTCTAAAAAGTAAGCAACTGTGTTACACCATTTCTCCCCCAGGTAAGTCTCAGTGCCTGCCTGTCTCTCTCGGTAACATCATACACCAGGAGCAGAAATCTACACAACATGAACTCTCCTTTGTGCCTCAAGTGAGATTCCCGAGGTTGGACAAAGACGAAATCCTGCACAGGTGCCCTGTGAGCCTTGGAAGGTCGGGTGTGAAGGCAGAGGGAGAGTGTTGAGTGAGTGCCCGGCTGCAGTGAACTGGAGAGCCTAATCAATCACTCCCCACTCCCAACAGTCAGCACTTTGTCTTGTGGTTGTTTTAGTTTTATTTCAGGAGACAGGGACACAAGCCATGCCCCATTTAGAATGCTGGTATTTAGATACATTTCTGTATGATGCTGACTTTCTTCCTACAGAAGTAACTTCAGAGTGTGCTCCTCGGCACTGATTCCTAGAAGTAGTGAGAAATGCCCTCGGGCGAGGCACTTGGCACAGCAGATAAGACACAGCTTGTGGATGCCAGCAGCCTCCACCAGAATACCTAGGATGGACTCCCAGCTCCACCTGCAAGTCCAGCTTCCTGCTAATACACACCCAGGAGGCAGTTGTTGATGGTTCAGGTACTTAGGTCGCTATCACCTACATAGGAGACCTGGGTTGGGTTTCAGGTTCCTGGCTTTGGCCTGGCTCAGCCCCAGCTGTTGCTGGCATCTGACCAGTAAACCATTAGATGAACAATCTCTACCTGCCTCCCTCCCTTCTCCATTGTTCTGCCTTTCAAACAAATAAACCTTTTTTAAAAAAACGCAGTCAGGCAGTCCTGTGGGTCACCGGCCTGTGCACCTCTCTCCAATCACTCCTCCTTGGAGGCTCCCTGTTTTCTCCAGTAAGAAGCAAATGATCTTCACACTGACCTCTGGGGTCTCCAAGAGCAACCTGTACACGAAGGCCTGCACAGAGCACTCCCAAGTGCTATTATTTGGAGGTGAGTAATTATACAAACTACCCTGATTTCTGAGCTAAACTCAGAGTTTTATGCTAGAACAACACAACAGAGTTTTAACATAATGGGCCAATGACCAGAGGCAATAAGGTATGCAGGAAAATGTTCAGTTCCTTTAGAAGGCAAGAGGCGGGACCGGTGCCATGGCGCAGAGGGTTAATCCTCCACCTGCGGTGCCGGCATCCGATACGGGCACCGGTTCTAGTCCCGGCTGCCCCTCTGCCAATCTAGCTCTCCCTCTCACTGTCTGTAACTCTCTCTCTCAAATAAATAGATGAAATCTCAAAAAAAAAAAAAAAAAAAAAAAGTCAAGAGGCCAGATGTTTCAAGGGACATTCTAAGGGGAGCTGAATTTCCTGGAAGTTCACATACTCATGCCAAAAAAGGACACAGTACCATTTCACCACTGACATACAGGGGGCAAAAAGGATAAATCTCCCCTTCAGTTATGTTAAAGAAAGGGAATACAGAAACCATAAATTTTATGCAAAATTTTGAAAATTGCAGGTAAGGCCTTTTTATAAACTGCTGGCTTCCAATCCATTTTTTGCCAACTCTCCATGGCTGGGCCTTGTCACGGCACAGGGACAAGGACTTAGGAGTCACAACGCCTGAGTTCCTGGTACTCGCTTGGTCACAGCACAGGGACAAGGACTTAGGAGTCACAACGCCTGAGTTCCTGGTACTCGCTTGGTCACGGCGCAGGGACAAGGACTTGGGAGTCACAACACCCGAGTTCCTGGTACTCGCTTGTTCAGTCTCCCTGGTGCTACACCCACCTCCCAGAGATGTTGAAAAGGCGAGATGCACCTGACTCCTGTGACCATGCTTGGAGGACAATTAAATCGTTATAGGAGCAGACACTGTGAGTAGCAGAGAAACTCCTCCTTCTTATATCAAACAACATCTAACCCTAGTTGTAATGAAGGGTGGCTCAGACTTCCCAGGAAGTACTATTAGGCACAATGGGAGCACTTATATCAGTATACCCAGACATCGGCAGAAATACGCAACTTTGCTGTTCCTAGTCTCGCTAGGCCTCATGCTTGCTCAGGAATCCTCAGAGGGTACAGCTACCCCTGCCCTGACACCATAGCTGCCTTGGTCTCAAGGCACGCAACCACGGGGCCTGCAGCCCAGCTTCCACAATGTCTGCCACCCAAATACCACAAGGCTGTGTTTTACCTTGACAGCAGAACGCTGAGACTCTCAGAGCATCCGGGTCTAACAGACCCTCAGACGCCATGCGGCACTGTGCCCGGCCCACAGTGGGCATGCAAATGCAAAGAGAAAGAAGGAATGCTTCCCAAAGCAGCTATAAAACTCAAATAGTTTTATTTATCAGAAAGACATCTGAAGAACAGAACAACCCACGTTCTTGACCTATACCCAGGTTTCTTGCAACTTGGCACCATGGTCCACTCTTCTCAGCCATGTCCCTGCAGGTGGACCCAGAGCTAAATGCGGGGAAGAGAGCAGAGTTCGGTCCTGCGGACTCCGGAGCCGTGCTGCCCCTCGCCAGCCACGGGCCCCAGGGGAAGCTGGCTAACGTTCCTGTGTCTGTGTCCTTGTCGCTCAGATGGGGATAGTGACAGCCTTTCCTTCTGGGAGTTGCACAGGACCCAGCGAGCACGTGCAGAACTAAGAAAGGCATTCTTCAACCGCATTTAAATACGTAAACATGAAGATTCACTCAAAGGTGTTCATCTTCATTGTGACCTTAAATGACGTCTTAATGAAGAGGAAACCATGGCCGCCTCCCCATCTTATTCTCCCCTAAATAGAAGCCCACTATTTTTTTCCTTTCAGTAAGTTTGTCATTTGAAGACATAATTAACTGTAATCTTAACTTTAAAACCAAAGCAATCAAAATTTAATTTATACTACATTACAGGAATTCCACTTTCAGACATGCTCTCGCAGGGCTTGGGGGTTTGTGGGCATGGTTTAAAGAGAGCACAGAGGGGCTGGCACCGTGGTACAGCAGTTTAAGCCTCTGCCTGCAGTGCCAGTTCAAGTCCTAGCTGCTCCTCCTCCAATCCAGCTCTCTGTTAATGGCCTGAGAAAGCAGGGGAAGATGGCCCTAGCACTTGGGCCCCTGCACCTATGTGGGAGACCTGGAAGAAGCTCTGGGCTTCAGATAGGCCCGGCTCTGGCCATTGCGGCCATTTGGGAGTGAACCAGCAGACAGAAGACCTTTCTCTCTGACTCTCCCTCCCTCCAACTACCTCTCAAACAAACAAACAAATCCAGAAAGACCTAGCTCCAAGAGAGGGGAAGCAGCCGTGTGGACAGGGGAACGAACGGTCTCCGGCCAGGACCAGGCCGGCCAGCACCCTAGCTGCCTCGAGGCCTGAGCTCTGGGAGAACACCCAGGGGACCCAAGAGGCTGCAGCAGCCCTCCTGGCCCTGATCCTCACCCTTCTGTCCCCATCCCCCAAAGGCACTGCTTCAGGACTGTCAGGGGCCAGGGAGCAAGACGCACAGCCGCAGCGGTGGAATGTTCCGGAGACGCCTCCTGCAAGCCCAGCCTGGTGAGCTTCCGAGCCATAACACACGTGCCTTTGTGGCCTGTGAGTGCACCCGGGGGCACGCAGGAAACCAGGAGGGCCCAAGCGCACCTTCCCCAGGTTACCAATAGGGGTCTTCCTAAGACCCCAAGGTCTCAATGCAGACCAGCCCTGCTGCAGGAGGAGGAAGACCATTTAAAAGAACCAACAACTGGAAGGGTGGGATCTCAGAGTCCATTAGCAAAGTTTCCCAGACCCCCGCAGAAAACCAAGTATCACCTCCCGAGTCAGAAGGGAAAAGTTCAGCACGCTCAGCAACAGGAGAGACCAACAGGGACTGCGGGGGACCCAAGTAAGCATCAGCCAGAGCTTCCGTCAGCCCCAACACCAAGAACAGAGGGTGGGCAGGACGGAGAGATGGGCTCTCCAGCAAGGACCCAGCTGGGGCCAGCCAGCAGTCCATGTAACCAACAGGGCCAGTCAGGCCACTCTGAGTCCCGAGACACTGGTGGGGGTCGGAGGAAGGACTTTCAGAAGCCCAGTGCCCCCCTGAGTGCCCAGGCCATGGGCCATCCAGGATAGCAGCAGAAGGGAAGAGCCAAGGCCCTAAGGTAAGGCTGGGGGTAAGAGCAGAGGGGAGAGGCAGGCTGTAGCGCGGCTCCAGGACAAACCTGAAGGAAGGCAGGAGGGGCTGTAGGGCGAGGCAGTCCGCGAGGAGAGGCCCCACTCAGGGAGGGAGCCAGGAGGGGACCCAGAAAGCAGTCGAGAGCACCTTTGTACCCCCAGAGCCCCGCACGTCCTCTGCCCACAGGCACCTGCAGCTCAACTCCACCAGGGGATTTACCAGCACCCCCCCACACCGTGGGTACTGGCAGCTCCCCAGGGGCTAAAGGCGGGAGAGACAGGTGAGCAAGCGGAGGTCGGAGGTCCCTGCCCTGAGGGCGCTCACAAGCTGGAGGAGGGAGAGGAGCCAACAGGAAGGTGATGGATGCCACGGGCTGGGGAGTGCCCAGGCCAGGAGGGTCTCCCATGAGCAGTCGCAGCGCAGCTCAGCTCCAAGCGGTGCAAACTGCCCTGCCCACGGAGATGCCCCGGGCAGAGGGAACAGCAGTGCCTGTGCGAAAGCTCGCCTGGACCCCAGCGACAGCCCAGGGACCGCCTGCAGCTGCCGCTGCCCCTTTAATTCTCCAAGACCGCTCCCTTGTGCAGACACAAACCTCCACACTTGGGGGGCCCCTGAGCCTGATGGCACAACCCAAGCTCCACGGAAGGGACTCCACGGACCGGGTTCTCCCTCCCCTGCCTGCATCCTCACGCTCCTGCACAGGCCGGGCCTGCGGTCTCTACTCCCCCCTCCCCGCCCCGGGCTGCCCTGCTGCCCCCTTCAGCCACCCCTGCTTCCACCATGCTCTATGATCAGGCTCCCAGGTGGCCGCCCCAGGTGACCCGCCCAACGCGTGGGGGACAGACGGGCTGCTGCTCAGGACACACCCAACATTGTCTGTCGCTCTGCCCTTGGAGAGGGGAGCTCCTTACAGATGAACACAGGGCCTGGAACTCAAGATCGCTGTGTGTCCTAGAAGAATGAACTCAGCGGAGCTTGTCTTGCTCTGCTCTGCTCCCCACCTGGCCACGAAAGGCAGCGGCGTGTCGCCGTCTTGGGTGGAGCAGACTCGCTGGGAGGATTTCACAGCCTACCGGGGTAGGGTGGGGGGGATGGGCCCAAATGCATTAAGTCACCATCTCTGGAATCAGGGACCCGGGAGAAACTTATTTCTCCACGCCGCCAGGCGACGGGTGATCCGCCGCACCTGCAAAGCGCAGACAACACAGCTCCCCGGGAGCGGGGAGTCCGCTGAAGTGCGTTCTCTACAGAGACCCGAAATGCCCCAGGTGCTCCTAACACCAGGCCAGGGCGGGTGCTGGCACAGCCGCAAAGCCACCAGCACAGGCTGCTTCTGAACAGTCTCTCAGGCCCCGTGCGGACTGCTGCAGGCGCACGCCCTGGACTATGGACCCATTCTGCAGATGACACAACTGAGACTACAGCCTTCCTTCAACGGCCCGCGGGCACACAGGTCTCCCAAATGCTCCCCGGCAACGAAAGCTGAGCTGCGCAGGCCATTTGCGGGGAGAAACACACACACTCCTGGGCTTGCAACCCAGATCTCCACGGAGGGCACTGGCCATTCGCCATTTTTTTTGGGGGGGGGGGGTTCATGTTTTTTGTTTTCTTTTTTTAAACGTCTCCATCTGTCAGGGGCGGGGGGCGGGGGGGCCAAGCCCCAGGTGTCACTGCTGCCCCTGCAGTGCCGCCGCCTCAGCAGCAGAGGGCGCGCCCGCACGCTGCCAGGGGCACCCCCGCGGGACCCCCGCGGGACCCAGGGCCCACAAAGGGGCCCGGCCCCTTGCGCGGACCCCGCGGACTCGCGCCGGCCTCTGCGAGGCGGAGCGCGGGGCCCGCGCGGGCGGCGTCCCGGGCGCCAGAGGCCGTCAGGGGTCCCGGAGCGTCCCAGGCCCGGCGGCCCCCTTACTTGGCATAGTACACCCAGCCGTCCTTGGTGGTTCTCTCCTCCCAGCCCGGGGGCAGCTCGTCCTCGCTGTCCGTGTCGTCCAGGCCCGCGTAGCGCAGAGCCGCCATGGCGGACACAGGAGGCGCGCGCTCGCCCGGTCCCCTCAGCCGCCGGGTCGCCTAGCCCAGGAACTCACTCCCGCTTCAACCGAGCGCCGCGCGCGTCGGGGCCCGACCGCTCGCGCCTGCGCCCTGCGCCCCCGCGGCCGGCGAAGCCGACTCCGCAGCTTCGATCCAGCCTCCCGAGTTTGCCGGCTGCCGGCGCCAAGGGTGGGCGGAGCCTGAAGAGAGCAGCGGCTTGGGCACGGAGAAGGCGGCCCCGCCGCTCGGCTGAAAGGAAAAGCCGGAGACCGCTCCGGGAGGCAGGTGACGGAGCGGAGCTTCCTCATCCACCTGATAGCAGGGAAGGGGCGTGCGCAGCCAGTCAAGGGCCAGGACTTCGCCCGTTGCTGGGCGACCCGTAATCACTTCCGCGTTGTCCTGACCAATCCTGCAGGAGCCCCGAGCCGTGGGGCATTCTGGGAAATGTAGTCCAAAGCCTAGCAGGACTAGAAGGTAGTGCAGCTTTCTGATGGAGTGGCCAGGGTTCTAGCCTCTGAGTGTTTCAGAGCATTAAGGACAATAAACGTTTCTGGTTAAAAAACCAACCAGGGCTTCTCATGACCACAGGATTTTTCTGTGCCTATAAACACAATTTCATGGAACCTGGAGGACTTATAATCCGAATTCCTCTTGCAGCCATAGCACGGTTCTACTGATAACAGTGGATGTTGCTTATGAGGCATTTAGTGCAGGGTCTGGGCCACCAAATCATGAACTATGTCTCCCACATACCCACACTTCTGTGACGTGGGCACAACTCAGGAAGGGTGGACAACACCCAAGGAGGCATGGCAAAATGATATATTAAAAAAAATAAGACGGGTGCCACAGCTCACTAGGCTAATCCTCCACCTGTGGCGCCGGCACCCCTGATTCTAGTCCCGGTTGGGGCGCCAGATTCTGTCCCGGTTGCTCCTCTTCCAGTCCAGCTCTCTGCTGTGGCCCGGGAAGGCAGTGGAGGATGGCCCAAGTGCTTGGGCCCTGCACCCGCATGGGAGACCAGGAGGAAGCACCTGGCTCCTGGCTTCTGATCGGCACAGCGGGCCGGCCATAGCGGCCATTTGGGGAGTGAACCAACGGAAGGAAGACCTTTTCTATGTCTCTCTCTCACTGTCTAACTCTGCCTGTCAAAAAAAAAAAAAACCTTGGTTCCCAGAGCTGTTACAGGGACACCTACCTTTAACCATGATTTTTCTACCCTAAGTTTCAGAGAATGAATATTCTAAGGAGCCAGGTGTGTTGCCTTATGTCTTAAATCCCTAACGTGGTTTTGGTTATCGGATTCTGCTCTGCCTGCTCTTTGTGAGACAGCCTTGCTTCGCTGTCCTTGTCTAAACAAAAGCTCACTGGATAAATAAAAAGCACCTTTTCGTTCTACCACGCCGGCCGTGTCATCTCGAACCTGCCGTAACACAACTTTTCTTAGGTTCCTGTCCGTTTATATCGGCTACCATTAACTTGCTGTTCTGCTTACTTGACTTGAATCTCATTCCCTTATCCCCTAAGCCCACCTCTTCCTGTGCTACAAATAGGAAATCAGGCCACAAGGTTCCCTGACTATGGGGATGGGAGTGAATGAGGTCTAAATGATTAGCCTCAAGTTCTTCAGTCACCTGCACCCTCTGACTGTTTAGATTTACTTGCTTTGCCTTGGTACCTGTTGCCTGTGGCTTGGCCTCACACCAGACAGTGGTACAATATGGTGTCCCCAAACCTGGTAGAATTCTAAGCTTCTGGACCAATCCTTTGCTGCTCTTAACACATTAACAGTCCCCTCCACTGCAATGAGACTTTCTCAACCTCAGTGCTACTGATATTCAGAGCCTGTTAATTCCTTGTAATCCCATGGATGTTAGGATTCTTTGCTATCCTGTGCATTTTAGGCTACTGAACAGCACCTCTGACTTCCAGCATTTTCCTCTCCCATTTGTAACAACCAAGGATGTCTCCAGAAGTTGTCGATTTGGGCTCCAGCTGAGAACCACTGATCCCCACTGATAGTAATTCAGGGAATCACTAACTTGTGAATCAAGAGAATGAGGCTGAGAAGCACCAGAGATCCCATTTCCAGCAGAAAATTCACGTGGGGCTACTTGGACCTTGCTGGCTGCCAATCAGGCTCTGATTGTCCAGTTCTGTAGCCTTGTCTGGGTGCACCTGCCCCCCAAAGTTTCAGCCCACCTGCATGTCAGAGACGAGAACGGCAGAAGCCCAGGTGGCAGATCCGGGCAGCAGTAATAGTCCCAGGTGAATATCATGATCTCATTATCAGCCCGCCTCTTCCCACAGCTCATTGGCTGGGCTGTGCCAGGTGATGAAAGATGACATTACAGACATTTAGGAACTTCCAAGGGCTCGCCTGCCAGATTTCATACTTTACAGTCTTTTGGCTTCACTGAAACATATTGCTTGAGTCAGGTGCCTTTGCTTGCAAAGAGCACAGACGGATCTAAGGGCCAGAGTTCACGGTCAGAGTGCACATGAACTGAGCGAGTGTTACTAGGGCTAAGGTATGAGGGGGTGTAGGGACAGCTCTGTACCTTTCCTCCCTGTGGCTTCACGAGCTCTTGCATCCCCTCCACACACAACCATGGGCTGCAGTTTTTGTGCGCTCCTTCCCAGCTTCCTTTATCTCCTCGTAGCCTTGCACAGGGCTTTAACTTTCCTCTTGTGAGGCTCCTTCAGGAGACAGCCCTAGCCTCTTGATTAGGAAGATTAGAATGGTTTGAAGAGACTTGTTTGAGAAGAACATAATGTCCGCCAAATGAAAGCCTCAACCCAACTGAATCACGTTGATGATAAGCAAGGACATTAAAAAAAATGCTCAATGTGTGTTTATACCACTGCACACCAGATGGCCCCATGTGCTCACGATTTTAAACACCAAAGCCAGTTCCCAGTAAGGATTTTCACATTTGAACTTTCCTTTTTAATAGCTTGCTTACGCAATAACTGAGACTTTATGGGTATCAGATTGATCAGCTTTTAGCGAATGCAATTTGACGTAACTCAAAAGCATTGCATGCGGGGGGCCAAGTTCAGTGTAGCATTCCTGGAACCACATTTCTTTATTTTTCTTACCGTGAAGGTACTTGTTTCCCTCCCCTGACACTCTCATACCCAAAACACGCCACTATGTCAGCAAGGCTGATTTAACTTAAATCACCATTGCTTGGGGAACTAAGCCTGCTCTGTTTGTGCCAAACTCAATATACTAATGAAATCTGTGGGAGTTCCTGGCTCTTCTGATAAGGTTCTCATTGAGAGGCAGCAACAGGAAAAATATTGAGCAGGATTTGTAGGACAAACTCTCTTAGTGTGGCTTTATTCAGGTTGATTGTGTTAATATTTCATTACTCATGCAAACACAAAATGTCTTTGATAGGAGGCAGACGCCTACAACACAGAAATACCAGTCAGTTAGAATAAGATTGGCAGGTACTCAAGGAATTAGGGTGTGAAAGTGCTAAGTTCAAGCCAAGACCTATAGCTATACAGTGACTGGGAGAGGTTTGTGTTTTAGGGTTTCTTGTAATTTTTTTCTTTGAAATCCAATGAATATCAATTACATGCTATACAGCAGTAGCCAAGTTCCTTACCTTCCCTTATTTTCCTAAAGAGGAAAATAATAATGTGCCTACCTCAGAGCCATGTTGGGAGATTGAATGCGCCAACAAATGTCAGGGTCACATCAAGAAAATAAAGCAGTATTCACACATTTGGAATTTAACAGAGGGAACTCATTACACAACGTGTGGAAGAGCCGAGAGGACAGATGCAGGTGGGAGATGGACAGGAGCCCAGGGAGGACATTTTTGTAGCTGCAGGGTATGGCTTAGGTGCACAGCCACAAGGAAGTGGGGACACCCTGCAGGATTCTGGGAGAAGGGACAGCTACTGGTGCTGGTGGTGGGGGAACCCTCCAGAAGTCATCCTGGTGGGAGAATGGTCCTGGTCCCCCTTCCTGTCCTCCAGGCTCCTGTCTCAGGTGTGTTCCCATTGAGTGAACCCACCTGGAAGCCACAAAGCTTGGGAACCTGGGAAGCAGCATGTGTGGGAGAAGGGTATGAAGGCAACAGGTGGGGAAAGGGACTGGACCAGCATCGGGGCTTCAGGTGCTCCAGGTGTTGGCTGCAGCTGCTGGTTCCAGGATGGGGGAAGAGGGGAGGAAGCAAGAGGATCACCTGGAGCCAGCAAGGTCAGGGGCCCTGTAATTAATTAATTTCTTTTTTTTTTTTTTTTATTTGACAGGTAGAGCTATAGAAGACAGAGAGAGGTCTTCCTTCCGTTGGTTCATTCCCCAAATGGCCACTACGGCCAACTGATCTGGCCGATCTGAAGCCAGAAGTCAAGTGCTTCTTCCTGGTCTCCTATGCGGGTGCAGGGCCCAAGCACTTGGGCCATCCTCCACTGCCCTCCCGGGCCACAGCAGAGAGCTGGACTGGAAGAGGAGCAAGCGGGACTAGAACCCTGCACCCATATGGGATGCTGGCGCCACAGGCAGGGGATTAACCTACTGAGCCACAGCGCCAGCCCCAGGGGGGCCCTGTAATTTCAAACTCCAGAGACATCTGTGGAGGGAAGGGCAGGGCATGGCAGGGGAGGGGGAGTTAGTGCTACAGAGAATTACTCTGGGTGTGCTCCACTCTGGCCTCCTAAGAGGTTTTCTTCAGACTCAGAACAAAGGGAGCCTTTGCAGCTGGGGAGTGAGGCAATCAAATGTGCAATTAAAAAAAAAAAAAAAAGCTTTGGTTATTCATTTGAAAGGCAGAGGATTAGGCTCTGCCCCCTCCCCTGCCTCTTCCCAGCTGCTGACTCAACAAATTTTGCAAACGTCCTCCCTTCCAAAGAAATGCACCAGCCAGAAGGGAGTTGAGACAGAGGTCACCTCGTGGTCTGGATGCTTGTCTTCGGACAGCAGGACGGGCACCTCCCTAGGGGCTGCGTTTGTCTGCTCATTTGTACTTTTCATTCATTTGTTCAGCTAAACAACAACCACCCAATCAAAGTGGAGAGCAACACACTGCAGACAGGTCAAAGGAGCTGATCCCTGCTGCTGGCCCTCAGGGAGACAAAGGTGTAACTAGCCCAAGGCCTGGAAGGCAGAATAAAAAATGCTAAGTGAGGGATGACAACCCATTTTAGGAGTAGAATGGAAGAAGTGATTTGCTCATTGTGATTTTGATGGAGGGGATTATAGAAGGGGCAGAACCTTGAGCTGAATGTGAAGGTGGAGAAGTGAAAGTCTGACACCTTTGGGACCTTGGGATAAGGAGCTTTCTCCAAAACCTTG